CTTTATATGAATTAATTTTATGAAATTATTTTAATTCATTTTTTCCTAATTCTTAGAAGTATAAAGGTTTCTAAACATTTAGCATCTTAATATTTTCCAACCCTTTTTACATAAACAAGTTTTCTTCTTTTTGTAATATAATAATTTAAAAGAATCAGCATTAAAATAAATTTTATTAAAATTGTGTTTTGATGAATATTAATTCTCATGATTATCTTAATTTTGATTTCATAACAATGCTTCTGTCATAATTGTTTCAAATTAAGAAACACTATGTTCTGTAAAATTATTCTTCATTTTTTTAATTGATTATACCATTAATTGTGTTAGTAAATAAAGATTGTAGGTTCTGTTCTTTAAGTATATATTACTTGGCTAATATATATCCAAATTTTTTTTTGAATCCTATTTTATAAGGCTATTGCTGTTTTAAGATATTTATTGATATTTTATTTTATTCAATTCCTCAAATCAAAATAAAAAGACTTATTGATATGTATGTAGATTGGAAGAAATTTTCATTAGTTTGATAATTTCTAATTAATTAATTAGATAATTCCACCAAGACGTCTGTTGATGATAGAGATATCCTCAAAATAAAGGTAAATATGATAATTCTATAACATGAACTATAGATCATTTGTTAAAATAGTATTATTCGATCAGTTAGTTTAATTGGGCCAAACCTAAAATGCTATTTTGGTTTTTTTGTTTGTAGTTAAATAAAAGAAAACTATAATAATAATAAAACTTGCTTAAGATTAACTGACGAAAAAAAGCTTGATGCTTTTTAGAATTTCATGAAATTATGCAATAGGGTAATCAAAGCTATAATAGTGTGAAATGACGAATATAAATTTGAGTGATTAACTGAGATAAGATGACAACTTTCCTTATAATAAATATAATTCATTGTAAGCCTTCCTAAAAGAATAAAACATATTATAATATCTAAATTTATAAATAAAATAATTGAGTGATTAATAATTATGAATTATAAGAAATTAAAAATAAAAAAATATTGGTGGAGATTAAATTACAGAAGAGAAGGAAGATTATTTTAATTATCAATATAGAGATAAGGAAAATAACTTTTTTCTTAAGTAATAGCAATTAATGGGCTTTATGTTATCCTGTTCACAAAAACCAATGATATTTCTTTAATCATTGAAATAATGGATGATATCTTATACTACTGATAAGCGAAGTATACTAATCTCAATTCTCTTCTTAAATAAAAAGTATGTTTTCTAAGAAAGTATTGCAAAATATTTAAAAATACTTCTTAAAGCAGAACCATTGCATTCAGAGATACCTTTAAGAATCACTTCAACTAAGTAATAGATCAAAATTTTACCACAAAAAAGTTTTTGCTTGCCTAGTTTATCAATTTATTTTTGGGAATATTACGTAGAATGGCATTGGAAATAGTTATATAAGGTAAAGTGGAAATGCTATGATTAAAAAAGTCAGTCAAAATTTAATCAGCTAATGTAAGGGCAACAACTCTGTCAATATATTACTTTACTTACCTTAATTTTGGTTTTAATGCACCATTTTGTAAGTTTACATTACATAGATACAGGGCAAAATTGCATTCATATGGAGAGAGGGTGCAGAAGGCAAATATTGGTTAGCCAATAAAGATGTAGCAACCTTTAAAAACTTAATACCGATTTTGAATCTGAAGAAATTAAAAACTACCTGAAACTCCTCTCTATAGTTCTTCAGATATAATTTATGGAATCATTTAATCTATAAATTATGGGCGACCTCCGTATTCCTTTTATGGAAAAATAGATGCTTGATTAATTTTTCACTAGTTTCTTTATTATTTTTGTTAAGATTAAGCATAAATATGGCAGCTTTTTATTTATCTAGCTAAAATAAATTAAATCTACCAGCACTATGTCAGAATTGATGTGATGGAGAAAACGCATCTCATATATTTTATAAAGAATGAAATATTTATATTTTTACTGAAGATTATTTGAGAAAAATAAAAATGAAGATCTTAGCATAATAACTGAAAGAATATAGAAAAGGTAATGATATGGAGGGATAGAGGAATAAAGTAACTTTCAAAGAGACATATTAAATTAGCTCATAATAAACGATTAGATTTCTAGGGGAAAAGAGTGAGTATAAATCTAAATGCAAAAACATCCTGAAACAGTTTAATAAGCTGTTCTTTTGATAAACTAATTCTATAATTGCATTTCAGCAATTTTCTATATCATTATCCTTTATTTTTTTCTAATGTTTTCAACATGCTCTTTGATATTTACAAAAATTTAAATTACTTAGTTAAAATACTGAGAGATCCTATAAATTATTACTAATAATAAATTTATAATTTTTAATATAAAAATTTAAATTTGATTTTTTCAAATTTTAGGCTCGTTTTTTATCAACTCTCACCTTTATCTTTACCTTGCCTAATAAAAAAAATAGATTAGATTTTTTGGAAATTTTTATTCAAAATGATGAAACCAAAACAATTAGTAGAATGGAAAGTTAATAAATTATCTAATTTTGTCTTGATAAAAATAGTTTATCTTATATAATTCGTGTCACCAGCATTTTAATACTAGAACGAATAGAAATTTTTAATTTTTATAAATCCAGAACTCAAATATTCAAGTTTCCATTAGATTAGCAATAAGATCATTTATCAATTTAATACTTGGATTGATAGGTTATTCTATTTCTAAATTTGAATATTTGCGAATATACTTGGAAAATAGAATAGGATCTTAATCATATTACTGAACTTCAAAATATTATAGTATCCATTGCTAAAAAGTCTTAAATTTGTAAATTTATGCTCTTAGAATTAACTATTTTAAGTTTGAAATAGAATACGATTATTATTGTAAGTTATCATTAGTATAATTAATTACTACTTTTGTAGAATCTGATTTTTTTAATTTGAAAAATTACTCTTATTAAAAATTTTAGAAAAATTATGTAATAAATTACCTGAATAAGGATATTGAATTATAAGAATCTTAAAATGAAATTTGACAATCAAGATCTTAAATTATTTTAATATTTGATAATTTATTTTTCTATTATCATACAAAATTAGCGAAATTCTATTACGCTATTGATTAAGTTCTAATAACAAAGGTGGAATATAGATATTCTTTGTAAATATTTATCCAACTTCTCCTAAACGAATACAATCCTTTATTATTATTTTGCAAATGAATTGAATTTAATTTTACTTCTATATTTCAATATTTAAATTGCTCCATTTTAATATACTAAATCTTTATCCGTAATTCCTAATTATGATGTATCTCTAAATTCTCTCTTAAATTTCAAATATTCTCGAAATCTAGCATCATCATCTTAAATGAAGTATCTTAATTCATAGAATATCATTGTAAAACTCATTTATCTAATCATTATTTTGACTTATTAATTATTTATAAAGAAAATGTAATGTAAAGCAGTCATAGGTTTTACCCTTATATTTAAGAGCTAAGGAAGAACTAAATTTTAAATAGCCACTCCTTCTTCATGTTTTAAGTATGGTTTCAAATGATATTTAACTCTTGATCAATTTAATTTAAAAATAATAATAATTATTCTTTTTTAATACCTTTTCTTGTATAATTAATTTGATATTATAATAATAACTTAATTCTAGCCCAAATCATAATATATAATACCATTATTATAAATTATCATTTATTTTTCTATAAAATGTATACTAATTTCATGATTCAGTAATCCAATTATTACTTTGCTTTTTCCATCATTAGATGTAGGAATTACAATATGATCTTGAAATTCATAAGATATCAAATCATCTTAGACTCCTAATATATCGATAACTCTATCGATTTTAGATTTCTTTTTTTCAAAGTGAAATGGAAAATGATTAATAAGGTAAAGCATGTATGGACTACTTTGTAATCTAAAAATATTCTGATAATAGTTGTATTCCAATTGCACACCTAATTATAAGTTATTATGGGCTTTAAGTGCTTTAGCTTTGTAGATACAGAATTTTCATATTCAAAAAAACAATAACCTTTAGCAGCATCCTTGAATAGATTGAAATGCTTTCTTATTTCAAATCAAACTCTCCATTTTTTGTTTATAGATTCTTTCTAAAAAATTTCTAAATCTCTCAAAATAAAGAAAGGAAAAGAAGGACTTTCATCATTTTATTTATCTTCATATAACCTTATCTAAATCAAATTAGTTATGAGATTTGAAATTAACTATACTTTTTTTTTTCTTTTATTAATTAAATCAACCTTCTATACTTCTTTACTCTATATTTTGAACGTATTTGTTTAGAATTTTATGTAAGCAATAATTGTATTAGGGTTTACTTAAATTGCGCAAATATTTTACCTGCACAAGTGGTTGTCAACCTTAAACAATTTACAATCAATATCATAACTTAAATAGTTGAAGATTTGATATTAATAATATGATTTGTGAATATAAAAAATGATTATATGCTCAGAAAAGTTGTTGAAATTTATGTAATACTGATCTTGCAGGATGCTTTCTTACTATTAAGTATTATATATTTAATAATTCCTTTATAAATTAGAATAAACATAACAATTTTTTTAATTTAGAACAAGTTACAATATTCATACCTCTTAAAGATAATGTTCTAAATTTTAATAGTTAATCATGGTATGTAACTTCATGTTTTGGATAGACAATGTATTTATACAGCAGATACAGTCAGCTATGATGATAAAAATGAATGTCATAATTATAATAATATAACAAAATTTAATTAGTAGAATAGGAGGGAATGATTGTACAATAAGAATTGGTACTTATAATAAGTTATCATAATATTAGCTGTTAGAAGAACAGTGTTGGAACAGTTTGTACATGGAACACAACTACAGATCCTCCATATTGTTTAAATAAAACATTTAGTTTGAAAATTGGCCAAAAAATTTAACTCCTTCTAACTGCTACAAATGTTGTAAATAATGTATATTCTCTAATATATATAGATTATTATTTGCTACTATATGAAGAAATATTTAATTTATTGTTCTTCCTTTTAATATTCAGTTAATTGTACATGAACATCAACAAATATCTAGTTCTATTGGAATAGATCAAGTTATATTAATAGAATTTTCAAACTATAATAATCATTTATTTTATCTCATAAATGTACTTCATGTGCAGACAGAAGACTTGCTAATCATAGGCATACTGTTACTGTATTTAATAATACCAATTGTTCAGACTAAATATTTCTTATATATTTAGATATTTTCAAAAATTGATTTAATTTTTAAAACATAAACTGTGGTTTTAATATGAATTAATTTTTGCTGAAGAGATAAAACCCCTTATCATACTTAACTTTGAATATTTTCTGTATCTCTGAAGTTTTAATCTTCTTTTTAAAGATGTAGGATTGTTTCTATTTCTATTATTTTGATCCAAGATTTGAACTTAGGATAGAATAGAAAGGTCGAAGATTACAAAGATTTAAAAGAAGTATGAATTAGAGGATTATAAGAATATGGATGGTTAACTTGGTTAAGATGGTAGAACTGTACCTAAATCAAAGGCAAAGTTTCTATCTGAGAAATTTATAATAGCTAGATTGATATGGAAGAGAAATCATAGGAATAAAAAAAAGGAAATTACCTTGTGGTAGCATATTTGAGAGCAAAAAAGTATTAGATTAATTCTTTATGATTTAGAAACAATGAATTTTATCAGGTAAAAGAGATCATTGACAGAGAATGGAGTATCCTTTTTTTATATAGGATAATTTCAATTTTTATTGTAGACAATTTTAGAGTTCATTTTAGTAAAAGATTTTGAATCCTGCGACATAATAATTAAAATTAGGAAAAGAGAGAACTCAAATTGATAATTAAGAAAGATGATTAAGTTAAAAGTGAATGAGCTATCTTTCAGGATGAGCTAAATGGACTGTTGCTTCAATAAAAATAAAATCTTTCATATTTATAAACTCTCTTATTGTAATAAGGATCCATTACTTGCTTTATTAAATTTTCGGGGAAAGAATTTATTATAATCAATGATATACCGTAAAGATGATTTTTAGATATATTCTTGGAAGATATGGTTTTTTTCTATTAATTAAGGGATAAGTAAGAGATTCATGATTTTTAGATAATTCTCAGATTCAGATAACCACTAATACTGAAATAATTTTACATTTTTCTTAACTATCTTTTTAATAAAGATTATCATCACTTATAGGATTCAATGGATACTATAGGATCTTATAGAAACAATGGAATGATGACGAATCTGAATTTGGAGGAAGAGATTTTCCTGAATTGAAACCATGGAAAGTTAATGACATCTTTAATTTTTCTTGGAAAATAGAATAGAATAGAAGGTTGAAATGATGACGCTATTAATAGGGTTACTGAATATAGTTATGGATACTGGTCAAGATTCTTATGGAATGGACCAAATAAATTAGTTGATAAAACTGCTAAAGAAATAGTGCATTGGGTGAATGGATATAAGACATTCATAAGACAAGAAAATTGTAAGGACATTTTGTATTAAATAGTGAATGAATCATATTGACTCAATTTCAGAAATAAATAATAATTCAATAACTTATTATGATTATTTTGTAATTAGATCATTAGGTGTAGTTAATCTTAACATGTATATGATTAGTTTGATTTAAATAAAAAATATTTAAAATTTAGATTACCATAATATTTAAGATTATGGACCCCATATGTATTTTAATGCTGGGCCATGATCAGATAAAGAGAAGGATTACTTATTATATGAATCATATATTACAGTTCCTCTTACACATATAAGTAAAACAATGGATATGGAGCCCAAAATAAGGATTATTTAATATTGATGATAAATAAGAAATTAAATTAGATGCTGATGTAATGAAGCATATACTATTGGAGTTTGGTTCAGATGCTAATAAATATATTTATAAATTATACATATTTTCAGAGATAATGTTATTACTAAAAACTTTTATTTTTATATTCTCTAATTTTAAGTACAAATTTGAATTATACAATATTTAATTGCAATTTCAATATATGGAATATTTTGGATGAGGATCTAATAATTAAACACTTCTTTATAAGCTATTTTTAATTAATAATTAAATTAAATATATATTGATTAAAAGAAGAATAACTATCAAAAATGGAGTATTTCATTACAAAAAGATAAAAAATTTCTACTATATAGGATACTTAATTGTCTTTTGCTCTTCAAGGTTATAATGAAAAAGTGATAGTGATTAAAGAAAATAGATAGTTATAAAACACACTTTATTGATTACTATCGTACTTAGTTAGCTTTATTAATAAGAAATGTAACAATTTTATTGAAAAATTAATTAAGCATAAATTTTATTAATATATTTATAAATAAGAAGAAATGTTTTATTTAGAAGAGAGAATTATACTTGAATTTTAAAAGAAAAACTCAAATATTAATTCTCAATAATTTTAATAATCATTATGGATCGTAAATATAAAATTATATAGGTTTATTTTATGATAATTTTAAATCTCTTGAAAAAGGAAAGTATATATCATAGAAATGAATAACAATAAGCAAAAATGATAAATAGAATACAATTAACTAGGAATTGCTGGCAGGATATACAGCAAAAATAACATTAAAATAATAAATTATATTTATTTTTCAATAATAGAAAAAGAAGTCTAAATGCCAAACCAGCAACTAATATAAGAATAACCGCAGAATTATAAATTATAAAGCTATAGTATCTTGTAAGTCCAAAAATCTCAACCTATGATAAATTTAATTTTATAATAATGAATCTAAAAATACAGCAGCATTAGTGATTAGCATATTAATGTTATAGATTTCGTATTGTTCATGTGCTATAATATCGAATGGATAAGTTGGAACACTTATGAATAAGGATGTTAATAATGTTAATCCAGATCCAAATTCATACTCAAAAGAGATAAATTGTCTATTAATGTAATTTATTAACTCTATTAAATATTCTTCTTGCTTGTTTTCCAAATTATAACTTTTATGAAAACTCTTTTTTCGATACATTTTAAGAATCATTTTTAAACACCAACCTAAAAATGACAACTCCTCCTTTCTCCCATAATTAATCAAACTCTGTATAAATAAAAGTGAGAAGAATTACTAAATAAAACTCTAATTGAACAATAATTGGATGAAATATATATAATTAAGATCATAGCAGAAGAAAGGATTTTTTTGAAAAATTTCAAAAAAAAATGATTTAATCGAAGTTCCGAATTAGAATCCACAGAATAATAATAATAATAGATAGATAGAACCATAGACTGAAGAAATAATAAAGATAAAAAAAATTAATAAAACAAGTTTAACAGTAATAACTAATACATTGAGACAAATAATAAAAAGAAGAATTAATATTCATAAAAGTGAATTATTTCCGATAATTATTGAAAGAGAAGGATTAACACACCCTACACTATTATCACAAATGAGTATAAAAGAAGAAAGAAATGTTTATACTACATAGAATTGTAGGTTTAAGAAGAGAAATGTATGAAGGAGGAGGATAAATAATTTAAATACAAAAGATGGAAGGAAGAGATATAATAAACCTAGAGTCAGAAGAAGAAGTAATAATATACAATAATAACAATTAGGGTTTAGTTTGATAATAGTAACAATAATACATGTTATTAGAGGATGATTAAAGAATTAATCAGACTTAAATAGAAATAACAATAGAAGACCTGTAGTTGATAGAAGATTCTATATTGAATTAGCAAAGGTAGACATCGAACATAAATTAAGATGTAAGTTAATAATCAAATCTGAGACAGAAATTGAAAGATAATACGTGCAAAACATTATCAATAATAATGTAAGCAGATGGTGTATACAATTTGTTAGCGTATAATGAAGAAGACTTGAAAGATTTTATTGAAGACTCTACAATAGCAATTCAAGAAAGTAAATGGAAACCATAAGGATGGGATAAGTTTATGTTTGAAAGTTTAATATAGAGGAACTAAAAGAGAGCATCCATTAGTATAGGAATGGAGAGATGCATGGATAGATACTTAATATGCAGTGTTATCTGCTTCGACGAAAACAAACATTTGGTGGTTGCTAATACTAAATATGGCAACAATATGAATTATGAGATGGGTTGTGAAAAATAGGGAAGTCTGATTCGAAAAATTTATTTAGTTCTATTAAGGGAATATTTTAATACAATGGTTTCAATAATATATTGGATAATAGACACAGAAGAAAGATTCTTTAAATAAATATAATAGAATGATTGGGCAAAATAACATCGTATGCATATTTAGACAGAAGGCCAAGTAAAGACATAAATACAAAGGTTATTAGATGATGGTGATGATTTTTAAAGAAATGGAATGAAATATAAGATAACAGATGCATTTTTTTAAAGATTAAAACAGGGATAATAACAATTACAAATATGATTGTTATCTATTCATTCATATTAATATATTAAGATAAATTCTTATTATCTTAATTCTATATATTATTGGTGAATTGTTGTGAATTTAATTCAATTTTTTTTTTCTCGTTTATAAGCTATATATGTCTTATTTTCTCCTTCAGTATATCAAAATATTGAATCTAATCTTGATAAAATATAATCTCAGAATTTAGCTTAAATATACAGTTAAATTTAAGATAAATGAATTTTGTATTTTATTATTATTTAAATTCAAATTTACAATTTACTTAAACAATGGGATTAGTCTAAAATTTTTTTCCTAAATAAATTAAAGCTTCTTAATATTACTTTTCATGAACTGTTTTATCACTATTTTATAGAAAACAATAGGAAAAAATCATTTCATTGAAAGGCTAAAGTGTTATTTGATTATTTCTCTAAGTAATAAATATTTTTTGTATCTTCTAAATAATACGTTTATGCTACAACATTAATATAGTATTTTAACCTTACAAGTATCAAAATACGGATAATTTCCAAAATTCGATCTCTATTTATTCTTCTCCTTTTTAATAAGATAGTTGGACAAGCATTATGGCGTTTATTTGGCAGATGAAGAGATTTTTTGATGGACTAACCAAATTAACTTCAGTAGGAGATAAATTATTCTTATTATGTTATCTGGTATTATGATTTACAAAAGTTTGCTAAGTTTTAGTAGTATAAGGATTTTAAAATGAAGAAAAGCTTATCCACAGTCAGTTTAAGGATTTTGTTGAACTTCAGCCACTAATTTGAACAAAACATAAGAATTACAGTATAAGTATAAGGGAGAGAGAGAGTTTAATAAAAATAAGATCGAACAAAATTTTCTGATATGTGCTTAAAAGAATTTGCTTAAACCTATAATTATAGCTTTCAATCTACAATTATGCAGAAATACTTTGATAAAAACAAAGAATTATATGGGCATTCTCTGGAATATGGAACACTTGAAATAAACACACACAGACATTAACTCAATAAAAGATATGACTTATCTGAATCAAATTTTGTGTTCTTTTTGGCTAAAGCTAAAGATTATATATAAACTCTTAAGGATACATAAAGACCTTAGTTAAAAGAAATTTCAGAAATTTTGAATTCTAAGATATTGACACATGTAGAGAGTTATCAGAGATAATAATCGTTGATGCCAATCCTTGATAATTCTACAGTCATAATTCAAATTTAATTTTGTTGGAAGTATGAGAATACTCTCCAACACTAATACTACTATTTGGCAAATTCAATTACATAACTTTTTAATTTTCCTCGGCCATTTTTATATCAATTATGTGCTCTTCTATGTTTTTTACTTTAAAAGGAAATAGAATTATAGCCACATATATTCATTTATTATTATATAAGATCGATCGAAATATCTAAATAATTCTTTAGAAATTTACAAAGTTAGGTTAATTATTAAGACTTGTATCAACTTCATCATCTTTAAAAGCAATATCACTAGACTCAATAATTAAAATGGTTCTGAATTAAATTTTTGAGAGAAGATTTATAATTTTAGAAATCTCTTGCTCCTTATCAATTTATGTAATAGATTGATGGTTTGTCTTTAAAATGACCATTGATAAATGATAAAGAATTTAAGATTCTATTAATTCCCTTTTTCTAAAAGATATTTTTAGTGCTACAAATATTGGGAAGGTTTATAAATTTGTCCAAGCTAACTCTTTTAATTAATATTTAATTGAGTACAAAATCTAATGATTTAGAATAAGCAACTTTAAAATAAAATAAATTAATTTTTTAGTACTCAAATATTAATACATCTATTGTAAGTTAAAATTCGAGAGCTTTTAATAAAAATATACAGCAAAAAGACTTGCCAACTGTTTATTATTTTCAGCCTTACTAATCAACTAAATTCTTAAATAGATATTTATAATAAGAAATCATTTAAGTTACACAAGAACAAAAATATATATTTTTTTAAGTTTTTTTAAAAGAAAAAGACTTAAGAAAAATATTTATTAAGAGGAATTGAATCAGCTCTTAAATTCTCTATTAAATTTAATGAACTAATAAAAATTGCAAAGTGTTTAATAAAATTCGAGCAATAATATTATTGAAAGTTTCTGGATCAAATTGCCATCTTTTTTTTAATAGTTCTCCAATGCCAAAATTATTATAATTCTATTTGAGTGGCTAATCTACAGATCTAAGTTGCTCTACTTCAATAATAAATAGGGAATTTTTAAGGGAATCTAGTTATTAATTAAAAAATATCTTCAAAATAAAGATTTCAACATATAAATCTCAAATATTTTTGTTATAACTATCCTCAAGTAATAATATATTTTTAGGACGATTTTTAAAATTATTCCATAAAATACTCCTCAACTCATTTAGTAAAATAAAATATTGAAAGGTAATTATTTTGAAAACCCCTTAAATGTTAATTCCTATTGATTTTTTTTTAATTTTTTATTGTTTCCTTAATAACTTCAATTGATTTAAAAATATTCAATTCTTTGTTAATTTATTTTACCTTGGTTATTAAAATAACTCATAAACTATGATGTGATTAGCATAAATTTAGAATAAAAAGAAGCCATTTAATTGTCAAAAAAAATAGATTTTTGAGATTATCAAAGCTTTCATCTATGCTAATAGTTTTATAGTTATTTGAATAGATACTTTAAATTAATTAAATTGGTTATCATCATTTTAATAATTCTTATTTTTTGTTTTTAAATAAGATTTTGTTGAAAGATATAGAATAATCCTCTAATTTTTACTCGTATTTCATTAGACTGAAAAATGTTCACAATTTTAATCTTCTATTCAATTATTAAATAATTTTACTGCCTATAATTTTTAAAAAAGATACTCTACATATTATAAATATTTTTAACCTTCATCTTTAAAAATATAAAAATCTTATATATCCATTCCTATTTATCCTTTATAAAGAAACAATTAATATGATTGAATTACACTTAAATAGTTTGAAATAATTTGTAATAAAATCTTAAATTTTCCCAGTTAAAATTTTTTTTAATTAAAATTGTTTTTGAGATTTAGGTTTATAAGTGGTAGATTTAAAAAACTATTATATGGTTATAATGCTTCTAAAAAATCTCCAAGAAAAGTTGATAACATCATGGCATACGTTATTATATGATAATATCAAATTGATTGTTAATTCAAAATCAATTTCACATTCAAATACAATATTTTAAACAAGGATTTAGCTTTAATCTTGACTCCAATCAAATTATAACTTCATAATCAAAGTTTAATCCCTAATTCAGGAGCTCAACTTCTTTTTGAATAATGCACAAATCAGATCTACTTCTACTCTCTTCTATATTATTTTATATTATTTATTAGCATATTTGGAAATTTGTACTGAGTTTCTTATGGTTATAAGAGATATTTTTGAGCATAGATCGCTTACAGCATTTTTATTAAGAACCTTTTTTTTACTTCTAAAAAATTTATCTCCAAAACTTACTAATAATTAAATTAGAACATCCTCAAAACTCTCAATATTTTCACAATTATATGATAAACAATTATTTTAGCTCTTATTGTTTCTTATATTGTACTAATTCCTTTTTGATATTACTATTACTTTGAATCTTACTACAAATACCAGATACTGTCTTTTAAGATCAATTAGTTAAATACTAGCTTCACCTTTTAGATAATTAAAAATTAGTGAAATGATGTCAAATTAAATTTATCAATAATAATCATAATATCTTAATTTTCTGTAAAAGAGTTTTTTATTAGTCAAAGTACTGGATATTATTAAAAATGTTTAAAATTTTTGGCAGAACTCCTCCTAAGAATATGGTAAATTATACTTTCAATATTAATACTATATTTAAGATTTATTAGAACTCAATATCTTGTTTATAAAATAGAGTGCTTATTTTTATATCAATTTAATATTTATTTTATAGATTTTAAGTTTTCACCATACATGCAGCATCTATGCTTGATTTATGGCTAATTTTATTCTAAAAATTCTGTTGTTTAAAACATTTCTTTCAATAATAAATCTTTTTCTTAACTATCAATTTTAAATGATTATTTCGTATAATATTGGAAACCCTTTTTTATAACCTTTTATTAATGATTTTTTCTAATTTCTATTCTCTCTTCTAATTTAAAATTCTCTAAAATAAATAATAAGTGATTGCATAAAAAAGAGGATTTGTCTTTCTTTGATCCATATCAAACATTCCCTAAACTCATAAGCATAAAGAAATTGATGATGATATTTGATTATAAGTCATATTCAATAAACTGTTGAAATTTAAATTAGGCAGAATTATAAATTTAATTTCTATAAATAATAATTATGTATTACAATGTTATTTTTGCCCTTTCAAAATTAAATAGATTGAGAAAACCTAAATTTTTTGAGGCGATAACTAAAATATACTCATGTTGAAATCTACTATAAGTTACTCAAAAAATCAGATTATTGAAGTAAAAATAATTGTCCTTAAATGGAAATACACTTTCAACAAATCAATAATTTTAAAAATGCAAAGGTATAAAATTGTAAAATTTCATGAATATAGTAAATTTGATTGCTGCTACTTACTTGAGGTTTAGAGTATTATCAACAAAATTAATACTGTCTGGCTCTCACCAAGATTTTTGTTAAGTTTAATTCAGATCAATAACATAGACTTTAGATTCATTCTATTAATTCAAGTTTTGAAATATTTAAATCCTTATTAAAGATTTTTATTCAAATTAGATACATAATTTAATAGTTAATATACAGGATAAAGATAATTGTAAAGATCTTTCGAAATTCTGCACAATAAGAAGGCAGCTCTACTCATTAAATCACTTATTCATATTATACTATATCTTATAATAATATATTATTTTTTGAATTACTTATATCTCATTTAATTCCTTAAAACTTAAGTCTCACTTGTATTTGATAAAGACATAGGACATTTTTAAATTTTATAGTGAATTTAGATT